AAAAAAAAAAAAAAAAGAACATTCTTTCAAGTCTACAAATCGCTCCTTAGGCCTAAAGACTCCAGCTTCTACCAGCTGAGAACCGCAGAGGATTTAATGAGGTAGGATAACCTGGTCAGCTAGCCCAGAGGAAAACGGGACCAACCACGGCCAGAACAGCGAGAGGTGAGAGGAGCCGATCCTCTCCCCAGCTGGTGGGGGGGAAAAAAAAAAGCAAATTTACAGCCCATTCAGCCTGGAGGAGACGGCGTGTGTTGAAGAAGGAAGCGACAACACACCATAAAGACTATTCTTTCCAGCACGTGATGATTAGCAAGCACAAGAACGATGCGCTTCAGCATTTCCGTTGAAGGTCTCTCTCGTACCACCTTCATCGCGCTCCAGAAAGGCTCAAGGCAATCTGGAAATACAGAAGCACTGAGCACTGGGACCTTGGAGGTCTCTGGGAAAAAAAAAAAAACAACATTCCCTTTTTTTTCCAAATGTTTACTCTCAGTAAGTTTATTTTTAAAAAACAGCGGAGACTAGTTAAAAAAAAAAAAAGGTAATTTTTTTCTACCTGCATCCTCTTTCAGCCTTCATGCTCTCTGGATAGCACTTAATAGTTGCTATTAAACTTTGGGGGTTTTTAAGTGTCAGACAAAAGGACACAAATCCTCGCGGAACTACACATACGTAACATTGTGTTTTATGGATGGGATGCTTTTAGACACAAGCAGCTCCAATGAGATCACACAGATAACATTTGCGTTTCCTGGCACTAACATTTTACTTGGAACAACTTGGTGCTACGGACAAAGAGCATGAATGAAGAACAAACCGGGATTACAAACCGAAAGCTTTAAAACATGTGACAGAATGGGAAAATAATGTAAGATTTACTGAATGTACTGGAGTGACAGTTTCCAGGTCTGTCACAAGCCCATTGTATCACACATCCCACAGTGCACTGCATCGCAGGAATTTACATAAAAGCCACAGAAGAGAGATCAAAGCACCCTCCCTACTGCCCAGCAGCTCTTGCAGCACTGGAGTGCACTAAAGCCAGTTTTAACCCAAGTTGTGGGAAGGGAAAGAAATAATTTCTGACACATACTGCTCCCCAAAATGACCAGTTCCTGCATCGTACTTTGTTCCCTAGCCTAAACCATAATTTAAAGCTTCACATGGATGACAGTAATATTCTCTTTACTCTCTTTTTTGCTTTGTTTTTAACGCATAAGCTCCACAGAACAAGATCTCCTGCAAGATAAAGAACTGACACATCTGGCTTTGACTTTTTGTTGCCCTTAAGAGCAGATCTGCTCTCGACAGAAACCTCTTTTTGTGTAAGAAACAGCTTCCCGTTATTAACTTGTGCTATGTGTGATCCAGTCTCTCTCTTTATCCACCCCTTGGAAGAAGAAACCAAAGCTGAAAGGAGAGGTGCCCAACATGAGGAGCCAGGCCAGACACAGTCATTTCCTCGATAAACAGAATATTCACAACACAGTAAAACCAGACAGCTCAAAGGAAAACGCAATAAAAAGAGGGATTTGGTGTCGTCTTAGATCACAAAATAAACCCAAATTAGGAATTTTCTTATTTATAATGACAAAAAAAATCTCCCCAGTCACATAAATACTACTCTCGATCCAGTATTTAAATGCTGTAATTCTCCATGCTTTGATCTTTATCTTCATAATTCTTATGCCAGTAGCCAGGAAATTAAAAAAAAAATAATAAAAATTTTAAAAATCACCTTAATTTTGATTTTAATTTTATACTGATTTGCCTCTAGTTCTTCTTCTAAAGTGAGACGTTATGGCTCTGCCTCTTTCGGTACTGCTTTGGAATTAAGCTGGGTTTGGCAATAGTCCAGGGCTGATTACTCCTGCGATTTCCAGTTCCTGAAGATGATGCATGCGCAATATTGGTCCTACCAGCGCAAAAATTAACCGTAACTAAGAATGAATGCATACATTTCTGCGAAAAACTCTGCTGCGCTGATGTGAAATGAAGACCTGGCAGATGAGGAATACCAGTTGAAAGAGATCTCATGAGTCAGAATCTGCACAGACAGTTTCAAAAATATCTTTGTTTGCAAAAGAGACCGAGACATCAGACAGCCAAAATGACATCCCACAGCTTGAAGTGCAAAAAATCGAAAGTTAAAAATCTACTGGCATCAATTGAATATGAATAGGCAATTGCACAACGGAATGCAGCTTCACCCATCTGCCTCACTAATACAAAACTCAGAGAGAAAAGATTTTGTTAATTTCTTCAAAAGCTTTTTCCCCCCCCCCCCCTTTTCCCTTTTTTCTCTCCTTTTTTCACTTAAAAGAAATTAGAAATTTGGTCAAATTGCCCATATTCAGAACTCTCCTGTCCCTTAAGTGTGAAGCCTCCTTAAGGGCAGTGTCACAAGCCCTTAGAAACCCAGAAACTCATCCCAATCGTTCCCCTACAATACACCAGGAAGCTCCACCTTATTCTATTAAACATTTATTCTGTTATTTCATATTGACTCTGCTTTGAACGGAACGCTGGGCTGCACGACCTCCGGATGTTCTTTCTAATCTGAATTATTCTACAATTATTCTAATGATTCTAAGGATTATTACCAAAAGATAAACTATATATTTTGGACCACTAACAGAACTATGAAGAGCGTAACACCCCATCAGAACCAACCAACGCCAAAACCAACCCCACCACGGTGAAAGGCCCTTAGAAACTAAACCACATTTCACAACCCGTGTGGGTTTTTTTTTTCTCTGCAAGTACCCAAATGCCAACACAGCAAGAGGAAAAAAATCTAACTTTAGAATCAGCCTCCTAGGGCTGCCGCATGTACTTACTATCCGGCGAATTAGCGCTGCCCACAAGGAGTAAGTCATGGCTCAAGACCAACGCTCCAGTTAGTTCCTAGCAATCAGGCCAGAAGATTTACCAACTCGGGGTTTAAAATAAATTGTTGAAAGGAGTGACTGCCTTGGTGTAATGTCCCAGGCAGAAGGCAGCACCTTCTGCCTCCCACCCCGCCCTCCATGCTGCAGCGACAGATAAACAGTTCCAGGAATTGGACATTTTCTTTCTGACCTCACTGATGAGGAAAGTTAAGAGACCTCCAGCGCCGGCTCCGCCCACGGGCATCGGTAGGTGAGGACGACTTCCCCACCCTCTCAGACACCCTGCTCCGCGCAGCGTCTCCAAACCGAGACAGCGCTTTACGAACGCTGGAGCCCAAGCCTAAGAGCAGCGACAGAAGTAATCGAATTAATCCATCTCATAACCTCAAGGTCTTTCCATTACCGTAGAGGCCACCTCCCCTGCTGCCAGCAGGAGACTGCAGCGAGCAGCGGGGTGTCCGGGCCAGGGGAGCACCCTGCGGCCGGCCTGGAATGGGGAGGACAAGCTGGTTTAACTGGGCAGAGCACAGCCCTGCCGGGGCGCACGAGCACACGCACGGGGAAACACAAGCCTGCCCCACGGCCGCGGGCCGTGCGCGAAAGCACTCGCACAACATCCAGCACTGCTACGTCCTCAGGATCCGCCCTGCTCTACCCAAAACCCCTCGCAGTCGGAAAATGTTTAATTTTTCTGTGTGCGGTGGAGTAGGTACCAAGTCCCACGGTATAAAACGTTCTCATAAATGATATCAGCCACTACATCCTCACTGTTGCTATGCAACCCAGGGCTGTCTCAGCCATATGTGTTTTCTCTACCTCTTCCACTGGGATACAATAAGCAACAACCAATTATATCCCTAATGTTAAAAGCCGACAGCATTTACCTTACGAAACACGGGTTGTTTTTAGAGGGTGACTAGTTTAATCCCCCAGCTTTTTATAGCTTCTCAGCCTGATGCACAGGCCTGAACCCCAACCCCTTCTCCCTGTCAGGCACGGCAAAAACTGCGGAAATCAGATCTACGTCTGCAGGAATAAGGGGAAG